TTAAGATATTTATGCACTGTGCAGTGTTGGGGGTAACTCATTACAAGTACGAGTTACGTAATCAGATTACTTTTTTCAAGTAACTACTAAAGTAACGCATTACTTTTTAATTTACAAGAGAATATCTGAGTTACTTTTTCAAATAAGTAACGCAAGTTACTTTTTTTTCCCAATTTATTGATTGAAAGCTCTCCTGTCCCCATGGTGACAGAAATCAGAAGATGTTACTGTAGTTCTAAAATAAATATGAATATGCATTTATTCATCTCACTCACAAGAAAACACACAGATTCAGTATTCCTCAAAATGAATAAAAATAATGCAACTCAGAATATGACGCAAACCTGCAATAATTAAATGTTAAACAACACAAATATCCTTTATGTATTTAATCCCATTCTATTAGCTTCTGACCTTCGATGATCCGGTTCAACCGTACTAATAAGCAAAAATTACTCTAGACAAACATTTGTGTGTCTTTGTTTATTGCCGAAGTGTGTTGAAATTTCTTCTTCTGCATTCTACTGTACGGATGTAAATTTACTTTCCCTTCAGCCTGAGGCTTATTCATTTCACTTTTGGTGTGAAAAGGCTTTTATATTTGCCAAAAATATAACTTTTTTATTTTAAAAACAAACAAGCAAGCCCTGCCCAGATTTAAAAAGTAACGCAAAAGTAACGTAACGCATTACTTTCCATAAAAAGTAACTAAGTAACGTAATTAGTTACTTTTTATGGAGTAACGCAACATTGTAACGCATTTCTTTTAAAAGTAACTTTCCCCAACACTGGCACTGTGTTATATTACCAGAGATCTCTCTCTATGGAAAGCTGTGGAAACACTAAAATAAGAAAAATAAATAAATATCAACAATTCATTCACCACTACACTCATCCATGACACAAACATTCAGTGTAGTGTACAGAAATATTCGGAAATGTCAAAATGACATAAATTATGTTCACTTGACACAAAAACACATCCCATGTTAGCTTGACAGAATTTTGGATTTTTGAGTTTAATTGTTCTGAAAATTATAAGATTTATAAAGCACATTTAGCCAAAACTGTATAGTCTATGTCAGTTGACAACACATACATTGTGTTATTAACATAATAACGTACACACACATTATGACATTAGATATGAATGCCACTTCAACAACTTTCAGTACAACTTACTTGAGTCTGGTGTGGAATAATATAAAATATGTGAGTAAATACATACATATATAAACACTTTCAAATACCATAAAAGTCATGATGGCAGATCACTGATTTGTTTTAGTTAGTTTACTTTTTTTTCTAACTTGGTCTGATCATCTGCTGTCACCAATTAATACAGAAAGGCTTTAATAAGGCTTTAAAATGTCCCTTCCTCTAATACCACACATCTTCAAGCAGTTTGGCTGATATGGTTCCCTCGACATTAGTCGTTAATGAAGGCTTTGGAACTGTGCACATTCTTGTGCATCCATTGACTGTATAAAAACATAGACGTAGTGTCCGTGACGTCACCCGCAGATTTCCGAAGAGCGTTTTTGAAGCTCAAAAGTGGGCGGAGCCGGCCGTCACCGCCGGATAATCGAAAATGGGCAAAGAGGCGGGAGCTGGTTGCTGAAGCCACGCCCACCCAGCTCGACGGTGGTGACAGCAGCGGCAATACACCTGTCACTCAAGTGGCCACGCCCTTAATTATGCAGAACTTTAGTTCAAGTTCAAGTCTGCTTTATTGTCAATTCTTCCACATGTACAGGACATACACACAGAGAATTGAAATTGCGTTACTCTCAGACCCTTGGGTGCATACAGATAACATAAATTACAGATTAAATACAGACTGTATAAAAACATAGACGTAGTGTCCGTGACGTCACCCGCAGATTTCCGAAGAGCGTTTTTGAAGCTCAAAAGTGGGCGGAGCCGGCCGTCGCCATCTTGGCGGCGCGTCACCGCCGGATAATCGAAAATGGGCAAAGAGGCGGGAGTCTGCCACAGGCTCCGAGTGTCTCTGTCTTTAAGGCTTAATATAATTTAAACGGATGAGTTATAAAAAAATTCACCCCTCACAGTTGTCATCAAGGGCAAAATTAGCTATATAGACCAAAATTATTTTTTGAACCAGGCTGTAAACGTTTTTTTCTGCTGTAAAGTTGGGCATTTTAACATGGGGAGTCTATGGGATCGACTCCCTTTTGCAGCCAGCCTCTAGCGGCCAGTTGATGAATTACAGTTTAAGTCACTTCCTTGTTGGCTTCAGGAGAGAGAGCAGGAGGTTGGGTGCATCCAGTGGGTCAAGTTTATGCATGATTAACATGACCCAGTTAACCCCTGCTGGTAGATGTCATAACTACACCATCTGGCTGCATATACTTTCCAGTGAAGGCTTTTTAAAAGTAGCCATGTATTCTAATTAAATACTTTATATACAAATCTTGACAAAAATAATATTTGGAGTTTAACACTTTTCTGTTTGAATAAGAAATAGCATAGGAGCACAGGAAAGAAAACAGCGACTTTAAAGCCATTTCATGGAGTTTTTAATAATCAGCAAAACATGCAGGAATCACATGATTTCCCCTGTGATTACAATGAATAAATACAAAAACAAGTTTTAATTTGCTAATCTTCTGTCCAGTAATATAGTTTTAACCTTACAATATGTAATAAATTATGTAATACGCATAGGCAAGCACCATTTTAATGAATTACTTCAAACGTATTCATTCACATTTCATTTAAAAATTCTGATACTGCAGTAGAAGGTCCTCACTGTGTTCCTTGGCAGTCTGAAAGAGAAAAGATACTAAAGATTAAATAAAACACAAAGACATGGCATGAAGACCACAAAACTTGAACTTGAACCTGACTGTGTCACAAGCAGATCAATCCAAATGTAATTTCAAATACATATTCTACTGCAGTTTATAGAATATAAATGCTCTCTAAATAGTAACAACTTTGAAACAATGGCATCTTCAAAGTGGCAATAGCACCACCTACACTTACTAGGATGGCGTTGGTCATTGCCTTCAAGCTGTTCCAGAGGTCTCAGTGACTTTTATTTCCTCCTCTAACTCCTCCACACCTGCCTGAGTCATGAGTTCAGAGATGTTCTTCTCCAAGTCATCGATTCGCGTACTCATCTCATCAAGTATTAGAATTAAGAGAAAACTCATTTTGAATAAGCTATCATCACATAGGAGATCTAGGAAGCATGAATTTTCTTCTAATAAATACAGGTTTTGATTGTGTACACAAAAACATAGCTAGTGCATTCCACTCAATTATGCTACAATTAGGTACTAAATTAATTACAATTATTTACACTGATAAAAACATGCATATGTGGAAGGATATTTCGCCCAATAATCTGGTCTGACATGGTCTGGAACTTGTCCTGCATCTGCTGCAGTAAGGTCTGTACCTAAACAAAAGAAAAAGAAAAAACAAACAATCTGAAAAATTGTGAATGAACACTGCGTCCAACAAGCATAAATGAAATCCATCTAGAATCGTGTGGGTTTTGCGTGGGCCTCCCACACAGGAGTAAAAACAGCAGTTTAAGGGCATGCTCCCCGCCCACGCCTGGAACCGAAACCATAGTAACAAGGGAACCCTCTCAACATCGTGTAATCACACACGATACCCAACTGTGAAATCAAGAAATCCTCGTTGTATAACCCTTCTGAAAATAAGTGCCATCTACATTTTAATGTAATTTAACTATAGACGGATGAAGAAAGAAACCATTTGAAAATACATTGAACTCACGAGAGTGATCTTTCAATACAACTTCACGACAGAGCTATTAATGAAGGATGACTTACAACACAGGCGAATCACAGCACTTCTCATTCTACATTCATTCCCTCTGGCTAGTGAAGTGAGCGTGACTGAATACTAGGCGACTGTAAGTGCACGACCCAGATTTGTATCTCGGTCAAAATCAAATACTCACCACAACAGTCAGGTCCTGAGATGTTTTAGGGTCCTTCTCAGACATGTCTTCTTCAAAAACCCCTACCTTCCTTCGCGTGATCTTTATGCTTGTGTGATCAAGAGCCCTGTCAAGGCTGTACAGTACTGCGTGATGTATTCAAGGTGGAAACTGCCGTTGAAGCAGTAGCTGATCTCGTTGTTAAGAGGCTTGGTCAGTGAACTGAAATCAACAGATCGGCTTTTGCTCTTTTGGATGTGGTCCTTTCTATGTCCTAAAGGGGGCGCTCGGTGGCTCAGAGTGTCACTGCATGTCTAGCTGACATTTGCAACTGTACTCAATATATTAAAACTAATAAAAAAATAACAATTTTAAGACATATACAGATTAAAAATAATTACATGCCATTAATGAAAGATTAAGTGATAAAACGGGAGGTTTTAAATGCCACATAAATCTCAAAAACCAGTGAGTTAGGCTGACAATATAGGTAAAAAATAAGTAAAGAAATGTTGCCTTTTGATAATATTTTATATTAGATTTCTAGAATAAATTCGATTTTTAATATTTACCTAAAATACATTAAACGATGTACACTAGATATGTACATTATTTACAGTACATACCCGTACTACACTACATCTTTTCTAGATTTTCATTATTTTATTTACCAGTGTCGCCTGTGAACCAAATCTTCCTGAGCCGCCAAGCGCCCCCTTTCGCAGGTAGATGTTCATTTCGTGAAATACAGCTGCTTGGCCTTTCCACGGGCTTGGGTTTAATGGCAATACGTCATTGGCAACCGAAATGACCGGGAAAGCAGCCTCTGTTAAACCACTGATCTTTACACAGTGATTGAAATGTCCAACGATCTGCATAGAAATATTTAAGTTAATAAATGTACCGTTATTTATTTAAACCAGTCTACTATGCAAACACAGCAAATACAAGCCATAGGATTTGGAACAGATACACTCAATTTCCCATGAACATAGCAGAACAACGACTAGCGCAATGAATTGTGGGTATTGATGTTTATTCGTCATTGGATTCCGTGCCGCCTGTCAGAAAATCTCATATGTTGAACTACATGTCCCATGAACCCTTGGAGAGACAATTTTTACATCGCAACAGCAATTTGACCGCAAGGGGTTTCTGGAGTCAGTTGACATCGTCGACTCTAGTGAGGCGCGCCGCAGGCGACACGCAGACGTAATTTTTGGGGAACTTTGGTCCTTTCCCCCACTTCGTCGAAAAGGCATAATAACGCGAACGCAGAGTTTATGTTACTAACATTCGTTGCAAAAACATGCTGGATCCCTGGTGGTCCGTTAGGTAATTGAATTGCCAGCTGGATCATTTTTGCAACGCTGGTTGCTGGCCAAAACTAAGTTAATCAATCTTTCCCGGGATTTAAGAGCCAGCGATATTTCATTGGAGCAGTTTGTAAAACGAAGTAAACTCGTCGTTGGAATCATTCCGATGCCCAGCTAGCGACTACAGCTAGTCAGTCAGCCGGGGCTTGCTGCGCCCAAGCCGGGCGAAGATTGACGCTGCACGGTGTCACCCAACTGAAGAGGATCGAGCTTATTAGGCGACAATGCTTGAAATAATGTCCGAACACCAAGGTAAGGAAAACATAAAACTTGAATTTCAAATATTCAAACTTTAACCATGTTGTGATATGCAACACCCATCATCATCATCATCGTCGTTCAGTTTGAGCAAAGTCTGTTAGCAGCTTTAATACTGCTGTAACTTTGCATGCCCGTTAGTTTAGCAGACTGATTTCACAAGTAAACCCGATTCAATGCCAGCCACTTTGTAATGTTTGATTGTGTTAATGAAGCAGAGGACATTTTACTGCGCCGACGAGCTGGTTCATACAGGGATTAGCCGAGTTGCTATCTTGATGGTAGCCATTTGTTAAGCAGTATCTCATAAATGATTTCAAACATGCCTGATATCCAACCACTGCTTTCCGTTCAAATGATTTCATGAACAGGTTTACAAAACCGCAGTTACGCTGCGTTGCGCATTTTGTCTTCGCTAAATAAAACAAGCTCGGTTTCAAATTAGTTGCCTCTTTTAATCCCTTTAACCAGGTGCCAGTTGAATAGTTTTTTTATTAGTACACAGTTAGGCTGTTTGTCTGATATTTTAACGTCCTTTAAGGCAAAAACGTTGCCTTTTTAAGGCTTGTCAGTGCTTAGCGTGGTAGCATTTCGCTGCCCGACTGCAACTCTTTTGTTATGCCGGGGTGAATGTCTTGCGAATGGTGTCTGTTCCCTCTCAACACTTATAGGTTTGTTCGTTGTAACTATATTACGATCAACATAAACCAATATATGTTTTTAAAGGAGTTTCCAAACCAGAAAAGTTGTCTTGTCGTGTTTCGACGTCGAGAGCAAGTTTTAAGCTGCTTCGTCCTCTCGCCTTTTTCACCGTTTTAGTTTATTAAAGTGTTTGTCACTACATTAGTTTAGTTTTCTTCACAATTAGTCTCTCAATTCGTGTGGATGTTTGGATGTAAAATGGTGCCTTGCGCACTTGAATTTTACGCCTCAGTCAACAGGGTGTCGCGAGGAACACAGTTAGCGCGTTAGCTTACCGTCGAAAACGCACTTTTACCAGGTTTGTAAAAAATAAACTGCACCACACTATTCCGAATGCAAAGTATTCTCGGTTAAATCTGTTATTTAGCAACGAATTAATATTGTTCTCTCTCCTTTCTTTTTGCTACATAGATTCATTACTGAAGTGCAAAGCAGAGACTCTGGTAAGTCAAACAAGGAAATAAGATTTTCATCCTACAGATGGCAGTGCTTGTCCAAATGCTAATAAATAATGTTCATGTCCAGCCATCAGAGAGAAGAAAGAGGACAGTGGAGGACTTCAACAAGTTTTGCAGTTTTGTTCTTGCATATGCTGGTTACATCCCTTCTCCAAAGGAGGTAAGAATGGAGCATTGTTTCACATTTAGGTGTGGTTTCATGCATTAAAGCCCTTTTAAAAATCCTGTTCCCGGAGACCTCCTAGTGCTGCTCCTTTTTGACACCCATTCCAAGCATGTACTAATGCGCTAATGAGCAGAATTTGACAGATACTGGATTTTGTAGATAATGATAACCGAGTTAAAAATCTATCTGGGAACGGTTTAGTTGGGCTGTAGTTTGTAAAAATCAGTATTTTTTTTAAAGTGCTGAAATTTAATAATAATATACTTTAATATATTTATGCTTTACTTTAATCATGAGAATGTTATCATTTTCAAATCAATCAAATTTATTAAAAGCTGTGCCTCATCACACAATTTTTATCATACAAATGATATACAAGAAATGGAGAAAGAGAAGAAATGTCATAATGTCCACATTTAAAGGGGTCATATGATGCTTTTTTAAAGATCATTATTTTGTGTATTTGGTGTAACAGGATGTTGGCATGCTTTAATGTTCTGGGTGTATTATGCAAATATTTCCACATAGTGAGGTAGATATGTGGGGCCGTGTTAGAACGAGCCGTTTTAGGGGGGCGTGGCAGAGTCTTAACTTTGATAAAGAATATCTCTTTGGTTTTGAGACTTTCGTCTTTGCAACTTCAGGGATCTTATTTATGCACAATCAGCTTGTAACACTCCAAAGAGAAAGGCAAACTTGAAATCGCATCATATGACCCCTTTAATGTATATCATGATGTCCATGTGCCCTCATTAAATATACGTCATACCAAGCTTACTTTTTAGATGTGTATATTTCAGCTTGATTTTGTCTTGGCATATAACTAGTTCAAACACAGTTTAAAACAGAAAGCAGGTTGTTCTGTGCACTTTTTTTTTTTTGAACATTAAAAACAATCTAATTATTGGTGCTGATTTGTCCCAATAATCGATAGTTCCATGAATTAGCTGTTGGTGCCAATGAGTTAAATCAGGTTTGTCAGTTTAGGGAGATATCCAAAACATGCAGAACCACAGGTTTACATAGTTTACTCCAGTTCTGGCCAGTCCTGCTCCTTGAAGGCCACTGACCGGCAGAATCAACTCCAATCACAATTAAACACACCTGACCCATGGTAGTCAAGCTCTTCAGCATTACTAGAATCTTCCAGGCAGGTATTTTGGGACAAGTTGGAGCTAAAATCTGCAGGATGTTTGACCCCCATGATTTAGCCTGTGCTTTCAGTGCTGTCAATCTTCTTCATTGAACGTCTTTAGCCCTGCGCTGGTCTTTTTTTCATCCTGTATTTGTAGATGTAAGCTGTTTTATGACCAAATATCATTTGAGCCATTCTGGTTGTGTGTCTCTGTCCACAGGAAAGGCCATGGTCGCCAGCATCCTCCAGTTCTCCAAACAGCTCTGGTGCTTCAGGTGAAGGCAGCGTTTTAGGTGGAGCGAGTTCTAACATGGCTCCCAACTGGAGTCACGGCACGTCGGACTTGCACACCATCCACACGTTCGTTCGCAAGGCTCGTGCCAATAAGAGCAACAAGAGCATGCGGCGGCTGTCGTCTGACAGCGCCCTGATGGACAAAATGTGTTTAAAAGACCCTTTCTATGAGGGCCAGGTCGCCAGCAAAGCTGAGCGCAAAAAGGACAAGAAGCTGAAGCGTCTTTCTCTCGGTTCCGGCGTTGGTGACAGCAGCAGCAGCGGTGGCGAGAAGCGTGCAAGGATCAAGCGCAGTAAAAACCCCAAACAGTCCAAAGCGCTTAAGAGCTCGGCCCAAAGCGAGACAGACTCAGAGCATGGTCTCGGGCATGGAGAAGAGCATTTGGACCAGGGAGCAGCGGCTGAGCGCAGACTACAGGCCCAGGTGAAAGAAGAAAAGGAGGAAGCCACCAGAGAGGCAGATATGAGTTCCAGTGAGGGAGAGACTTGGATAGCTGATGAAGACATAATGGTGGAGTCAGGTGAGTTTATTAGGGACTGAGGAAGATTTAGATGGTTTGGAGATGCTCATAAATATTCATTGAAGGATTTTAATTAGTGCTGTCAAACGATTAATCACATCCAAAATAAAATATTTTCTTTACATAATATATGTAAGTGTACTGTATATATTTTTATGTATATATAAATACACACACATGCATGTATATATTTCAGAAAAATGTTGTTTATATATTAAATATATATATAAATTATATGAATATAAATATAGAAATGTAAATATATTCAAAATGTATACTTTGTGTGTTTATTTTATTTATATATATATATATATATACATTATACATTTTCACAGAACACACACATTATGCAAACAAAAACTTTTATTTTGGATGCGATTAATTATTTGACGGCACTAATTTTAATATAAGGATTTTAATATTGTATTGTTACTGAATTTTATATCAATGTGTTGAAATACAACATCTCCATATGTATTTTCAGCAGTCATTACTCCAGTCTTTAGTGTCACATGATCCTTCAGAAATCATTTTAATATGCTGATTTGCTGCTCAAGAAACGTTTCTTATTTTTATCAATGTTGAAAACAGTGTTTGCTGCTTGGAATCCATTATACACCCAATTCAAAAGTTTGTAAATAAGAAAAAAATTATAATAATTAATATTTTTGTTCAGCAAGGATACATTAAATTGCCCAGAAGTGACAGTAAAAATGTTTATAATGTTACAAAAAAATAATATTTCAAATAAATGGTGTTTTTAAAACTTCCTATTTATCAAAGAATTCTAAAAAATGTATCATGGTTTCTAAAAGAAAAAAAATATTAAGCAATAAGTAAAAAAAACTGTTCTCAAAATGGATGAAACCCCATAATAAAAGAGTGCCAACTAATTAATAAAATAAAAAATGTGTGTATATGTATATGTATGTGTGTGTTATATATATTATTTTTATTTAATTTTTTTTATTAATTAGTAATAAGTCAAAAATGCTTGCAATCAAATATACAATAAAACATAAAATCAAAACAAATTCTATACCATAAATAATTTCATTAATGACTTTACAATTTAATACAACTTTTTATTTTCCTTACAGGGGATGATTCGTGGGATTTGATCACCTGTTACTGCGGTAAACCATTTGCAGGACGGCCCATGATTGAATGTAATCAGTGCAGTGTGTGGGTGCACCTCTCTTGCGCCAAAATTAAGAAGTCTAACGTGCCCGACATATTTAACTGCCACAAATGCAGAGACTCTCGACGGTCAAGTCAGAAAAAAGACACTTAGATGAGGGTGATCATTCCCTCAAAGCTCTGAGTGTTCCCATTTCTCCAGTTTTTGTATCCAAAAGCATTTTTTCAGTTTCAAAATACACGTTTTCCTCTCTTTCTAGTTACTCCTTACATGTTTTACAGTCAGTAGTCTCCATTACAGAGTTCACTGAGAAATAATGTTTGTACTGATCTCTTACCTCCCGAGTTGGTAATTGATCTTGGCTCATTTGTAACTGTTTCAGAGATGCGTAAGCTAATTGTCATTTGTTTAAAATAAGAAGCTTGCATATTTAGTAAGTGCCACTATTTTTCTTTAAGAAAAGTTAGAGAACACAGCCACACTACATTTTCACAGATGTATACTATATTGGTTACTTTGGTACTACAAGAGTCTATTTAAAAGTAATAAATATATATTTAAAACTATTCAAAATACAGAAAAATATTGTCCTGATTTTGCCAAAGAGCTGCTGTGAGAGATTGTATTGACACAGTTGTTACTAAAAATATGTTATTTCTTAGTGAACTGTCCAGTTGATCTTTTTTCATTGGGATAGATGCTTTTGTTTGAAGACTAATAGATGTAATGTGTTAGTCTGAATGCCATTTCCTGTAGGTGATCATAAGACCATTTGAATTACAACCTCTTAATTGAAAAGTTATGTCAGAAATCACACTCAAATGGACTTGATCAGTCGGCTAACATGTATTAGATGTTCAAATATAAAGAGCTGTAGGAGGCATTAAAGCAGGGAATCCATTCGTTTGCAATTATTGATATCAAACAATCGTTTCTTCTAATTCTACTGGTAATGTACAGTATGTTAACCCATGTACTTTGTCGAAGAAGCTATCAAAACTGTTTGGTCTTTAATTACTTGCACAACACCGTGTCAATGTGTAACATTTTTGGAAGATTTCAGTTTAATAAGTTGTGAAGGCTAGATTTAGGAGCTTTGCTGAAGCTTTCCTTGAGTAGAATGGTTGTAATTATTGTTTTCGAGACGTGTTTGGGGGTTTTAAACTCTGAGAACTGGTAAAGATTACTCATTTATGCTACGAGCTCTTTTCTTTTGAATTAGTTTGAAGACTATCGTTTAGATTTTTTTTTCCCCCTTTCTGGTTTATTTGTGAAGAAAGGGAGACTGGAAATCCCCAAAAGCCAGACCTCTCTTGCTTCACATTTCACTCTGTAAATATCACAGATTTTGAAAAGTGTACATATGTGAAAGTGAAGAGAAAAGCAAAGGGTATATTTTTTTTGCATCTGATATTGTTTTCTTTAACTACCTGGAGAAATAAAACTTTTCTTTATTGGGCTTAAAATGTCTAATTTTCTCAGTGTTGAGATGGGTCATGTTTTTGTGATTTAAAAGGATTTAATGGTTTATCCATGTACATTTTATTTTGCGGCAACACCAGTACAGCGTCTGTCAGTTTGCACCACTAGATGGAGCTGGTAAGCTAATATTGGAAAAACATAAATACAAATAAATAAATCACAGTTTATAAACCTGAGATGCAATGACTTGATACAAACCAAAAGGTAAATTAAACAGATTTCCAAAAGAAGAAACCACAAAAGTGAAAAAGAACCAAAACTAAACCACATAAGAAGTCATTTTTAATGGTATATGTCATCTGTCAGTTTGATCACTTTGCATTGTGTTCCTTAAAATCTTCAGGTTCCTCCTGAGGGGGGGGGAATTATTTTAGCAGTGATAGGATATGCAATCTGTTTAATTGAAATATATGTAGCCAAACCACTGTGGTTTTCTCTGTATGAAAATACCTTTCTGCTCCTGGAAGACAAGTGGGAGCTGCCTATGGGGTCCAGAGGAACAGTGATCCTCCTCCTATTGGGGGGGGGGGGGGGGGATGTGGGAATTGTGTGTGAATTTGGGCTTGAAAACATAGGAGTGCTTCTACAGAGAACTAAGAGTTCCATATTGAAGAAAATGTTAAATGTCTACAAATTATAAAATATTCAAAATAATTTTATGTGGTTAAGTATAGCAATGAAAATAGAAAAATATTCTATTCATTTTTATTTAATAACTTGAATTTGAATATAGTATTTTTTTAATACAATAACAGTAAATATTCCTACTCGCCTCTTATCCTTGTTTTTGCGACGGTTGCTGTTTGCTGGTTGCACATTGATGTGTTCCATAGGGGAAAAGAATTCGGGAGTCTTGGCCGGATAGGGGTCCCAGTCCCGAGTCATTTCCCCTTCATTTCCTGGGAACAAGTCTGCCAGATCAGAGAGCTCATAGATGTGCGGTGACATCTCCTGATCCGACCTGTAATTGCTCTGCAGGGAATCAGATGCATTTTAATATGTGACACATTAAAGTGTTTTTATTGCAATATATTAAAAACTATATAAATGAATATTCTCTCAAGAAGAAAATTTACTCAGCATGTAAGTAATGTGAGATTTACTCTTTTCACTCGTAGTCTGTCTGGTATCAGGAAAGCACAAAGCTTGTCCATCAAGAAGTAGACAACCAGAATAAGTAGCAAACACCTGGAGCACATCATCTGAGGGTACAATGTGACGATATATGATCTTTAGAAAAATTGTGACACTATTTTTTCTATTTAAAGTATTTGCGTGCATAAAGAGAAACTGCTAACAGCAAAGAGATAAATTTTAGATAATGTAGCAAATTCAGCACAGTTACTAGGACAAAATTCAGAATTGAATTAAAGTATATTGTGTTTTTAATATTTACCTTCATGGTGAATTAGTCTGTCCTTTAGAAGTTTCTTCAGGAGTTGTTTGACAGTCCTGCTTTTTCTCCTTCTTGTGTGTAGTTGCCTTGCCGTCCTCTTTGTCAAGGGCATGTGTGTTTGGGGTATTTGTAGACCTGAAGCTGGGGTGGGTTTATATAGGGTGACTGAGAGATTATGGATAAAGGGAGTGTGTGTGTCTAGCATGACTTCACCCACCCTCCAAAAAGATAAGAACATGATTAACGCATCATTTTGGTTGTTGTTAAAATGTTCTAGTTCAAACTTAGGTTAACAGCTTCATTGTACAAGGTACATTGAGAATCTTCCAAGATAATTGAAAATCATTATTTATAGACATGTCTTGAATATTGTAATATGTTTATCTATATTTAAACTACTTAAAAGTATATATAAAATGTATTTATAAATTGGATATAAAATATAGTTATTCTCATTAACTTTAGCTAATGAGAGCTAATAACATGTAGAATGAGAGCTTTAGCTGTTGTGTTATTTCCTAATTAAACGATTATGTAAATATATTTAATGGTGTGATTTCTAGGGATTCACTGGTTTTAAAATTCTGGCCAGTACTAATAATCAATATTATTTGCATTTTATGATTAAAAATAAATAAAATAATGGCAAATAAATGACTGATACAAAAATTCTACACTATATTGTCAAGAAGAAATTAAAATAATTAAACACTGAAAAGAATGCTACAAGAGAATTTATCACAAAAATGTAATACACCGTATGAAAAATGATGCCAATGATTATATTTAATGTTATTAAATTATTATTGTGTTTAAGAATAACTTTAAGTGTTGAATGACAGAAAAGTCACAGAAATATAAAAATAGGACAAATGAGCATATAATATCAACCAATATGGATAAAATAATAACATTTCTAATATTGGCTAATAAATGTTATGGTTCCCAAATATTGTGTATCTCTTGTGATTGTATTGGTTATTTTATGAGATTTGATGCAAGCATTGTAACTAGTTGATATTCGTACACTCTCTGAATGTTCTGTCATTTGGAGACTCTGTGTGTGGCCTGTTCAGCTATCAGATAATCTCGTCTCACCCAATTTCATCGTTTCAAAACATTGGATTCCCATCTATGTACACCAAAACGGTCTCTCTCTCTTTCTCATTAGGGATGTTCGTAGTATTATCAGAGGGAGCACACACACACATACATAAGCAAGTTGGGAAAAAAGCCGGAGCCTGCCTCTGCGGATGGCCTACCAGCAGTCTGACACGTTTTCTCTTTTCCTCTTTTCCCTCCCTATCCTAATTATTGCTATTTCTGGCAACTGGGGCCACCAGACATAGACGAGCTTGTTGACAGACAACCCATGGTGAAAATAAACTACCTTTACTAAACAAGACCGGTGCAATCCGCCCAGATGTCTGTCAACAGAGACTGAGAACAAATCGTTGCCTCTAATTAGTCTAAAATGAGTGTGTGTGTGTGTGAGATCATTTCTGACAATCCCGCCTTCTCATTTCTGCCCTATAAATACCCAGAATCTTCCTGAGTTCCAAATTTAGAACAATGAAATTCTAAAGAGTGCATTGCCAGCGCAAATATAAGCCCTTTTGTAAAATAAGTTATGTTTTTCACTATTGTGTATATTCATTGTCTGTAACAATTCTTGTACAGATACAGCATTTTCCCAAAATGTTTCCAATAATATAACGGGTGGTTCATTTTCAGTGCTTAATATGGTGATTCAATAAGATATTGAGTAATGCGCAGAGTGCAAATTGCACTCTAATTTCATCCAGTGTCTTGAAATCTGTGGATCAGTGGTTCTACAATGCTGCTCACTACATTTGCGATTCATTAAATGCAAAATAAATTTGTCTGGTTTTCAGACTGCACTCGGTTTTGTCTTATGCATGTTGAGCAAGTCAAAAGTATATGCCAATTCTTTTCTTTCATTATTGAGTCAGTAGCCTACATGCAGTCAACTAGTTACTGTTAAGTGGCAATTCAAAATGCACAACATTATAACTACCATTACATCTAAACCACAGACGTTACAGGACATTACAGATAGAAACTATATTGTATATCTCTGGAAAATGCAGTCTCTTAATTGAAAACGCAGCTAGAGATTTTAAGATTTTGAGTTATACATCAAAAGTTCACCATAAAATCTGAGAAAGCATATTGAGTTGCATTTTTCCCCCAAAAAAATTCATTCATTACTCTTTCTGCTTTAATAGAGCCATTAGCTGTGTGACATATTGGCTAAATGCACACGATCAGTGATGAGAATTTAAATGCAATTAATATTTTATAAATAAACAATTTAAGGATTAATTATCCTTGCAGTGACGTTGAATAGACAAAAGAAAAAAAGTTGTCTTTCAAAACGTTAATGTTGTATGTTTTAATTCTATGGAAAGGAAGCCTACAAAGTGGCTGTGTTCCACATTTATAGGTTTTCACGGGCTGTGCAGTTTTAAGAGCTGAGAATTATTGTTCTATATCGGTGTTTCTCAACCCTGGTCCTGGGCACCCCCCAGCACTGCACATTTTGTGTGTCTCCCTAATCAAACACACCTGATTCAACTCATTAGCTCATTAAAAGAAACTCCAGGACCTGAAATGGGTGTCAGATAAGGGAGACATACAAAATGTGCAGTGTTGGGGGGCGCTCAGGACCAGGGTTGAGAAACACTGTTCTATATAAACGTCTGTGGCTTTAGCTTTACCTGTTATTTTGCTTTTTGTACACCACACGTCTGATCATACAAAATTATATCTGAAAATCCGTGATGAGGTTTCTTTAGGGCAAGTCATAGCTCTAAGAGAAGATGTGTGTGTACTTTAGAGCAGATAATTGTGATAATAATTAACACTTTAGACTTTCTTACTATAAAATATTCCTAGTCCAGTCCACACTGGACTGCATTTTGCTGCTGAACTGGCAGTCAAGTGATTCCTTAATGCCATTAGGACTAATAACACCATCATCTCTGGAGAAATTGTTTTCGGAACAAGCTGGGGAATTCAGGCTAGTATTTACCAAGCAGACTGACACCGTTTATGTTGAGTGGACTTGCAGCATTAATTATTTTGATACCGAAACTACAGATTTATGTTTTCCAGTAGGGCTGCACGATTATGACAAAAATCATAATTTTTCTATGGTGTTAAGCCTCAAATGTCAACTATACATCGGATTGGTTTCTCTTTAAATAAAAAGATGAAAAATATGCATGGTATTATAATTTTAAACTAAAATTAAAACGATGGAAAAACCCTTAAGATAACATGTAGAAAGAAAAACACATATCTCAAGCGTGCAGAATAACATAAGTGGACTTTGAATGATTAATTGCTGCTTTGAACGATTACGTAATTGTGGCATCCGTAATTGTAATTGTGATTAGAAATTAAATTAATTATGGAGCCCAATTTTCCAGTCTTGTTCATGGAAGTCATTTATCTAATGCATTACTCAAGAAAAAAAAAAAGGGCTTGTCTCACTCATCCTTTGTCCTGGTTAATGACTCAAACAATGTTTAGCACTGGAAAACTGGAATGGCAAGATGGGAGTGTTAAAAAAAATACAATCACAAGACTTAAATGTCAAAGGTTTTAATGAGGAAAGGTCAACAATTATTCAGCATTTCTATACAGAAACTGGTTTGCTTTCAAAATTCATAAATTTCTGCCAGAAAGATTTCCATGTGATGTTTCAAAATCCTTTTTAGGAACTTGCATCATATTTGTCACAAGTTATGCAGATTTTCTTATTTACTACTCTAAATATTTACTGTTGTTAGAAAATGCCGTTTTAGCAAGTCTGAATAATGAGGTTTTTTTTCTTAACATAAAGCTTTGAGCCATGGACACATGACCATGAACAGTAAGATAACATAATGGAAGCAGGATGCAATTCCATGTGGCAGGTCTTGAGAATCAAATTAGCAACAATTGAAAGCCTAGATTCAACATGAAACCACATTTTAAACACAAGGGGGAAAAAACAATGAAACCTACAGCGTTTCACAATGAACACTGTAGCCAAAACTTGTCACCAAACAATGCCCTTGCCATTCATCAGTAAGCTTCATTACTTCAACAGCAAGCAATGTGCCATGAATGCTCTTAATTCAGTGATTCCTCCGTGTGAGTGGTCAGGAGTATTTGGGGGAAATTTTAACTACATATTAAATTTTAGTTTTACTTAAACACCACTTTCTCCCTCCAAAGTAAAATGTTTGCAAGTGTGTTTCGAGGACCTCAGGCATGTTGATGCAAGGCAGGGTCTTCTCTGCTGGCAATGAAAGGCACTGTTGTTTCTGCACCTCATGTCTGTCAGTTTTGAATAGACAACTTTTTTTCTTTGCACTAATTTGCATTTTCTGTCTCATTGTTTAGATAGGATATATTATAATGTCTGATCATGCCTGTATGATTGTGGAGGTAAAACATTTAATGGACTTCACCCTTAATACTGAAAATGTAAAGAAGTTTTATATGACAGTAGAAGAAGATTTCTCTTAACAGCCCCATTATGTAGAGGACAGCAGATCTAATGGTAAGGGTTGTGCCTGGATGAGGGTCCTTTGTGATGAGAGGGTTTCATTCCAATCAAAATCATGCCCATAATTTTAACGTGGCTGGGTCTTTCAGCATGACAATGATCCCAAACACACCGCCCGGGCAACGAATGAGTGGCTTCGTAAGAAGCATTTCAAGGTCCTGTAGTGGCCTAGCCAGTCTCCAGATCTCAGCCCCATAGAAAATCTTTGGAGGGAGTTTGAAAATCCGTGTTGCCCAGCGACAGCCCCAGAACATTACTGCTCTAGAGGAGATCTGCATGGAGGAATGGGCCAAAATACCAGCAACAGTGTGTGAAAACCTTGTGAAGACTTACAGAAAACGTTTGACCTCTGTCATTACCAACAAAGGGTATATAACAAAGTACTGAGATGAAATTATTGACCAAATACTTATTTTCCACCAAATTTGCAAATAAATTCTTTAAAAATCCTACAATGTGATTTTCTGGATTTTTTTTTTCTCATTTTGTCTCTCATAGTTGAGGTATACCTATGATGAAAATTACAGGCCTCTCTCATCTTTTTAAGTGGGAGAACTTGCACAATTGGTGGCTGACTAAATACTTTTTTTCCCCACTGTATCTGGTTGTTTGCAGAGTAAAGCGCTGATGTGAAATACAATTGCACGCATTGTTCATGATGTTATTATACTGTAGATAACCGCTACAAATAGTCAATATTGTTAATTATTTACAACCCCTTCCGGTTATTGGTGGGTCTTTTTTTAATACCTTTTTCCATTGGAATGCTTCGCATGTATACTGCGGTCTAAAATAGGTCCATCCCACTTCTGGGTTTATTAATTAAATGAGAATAAATCAGTCAGTTGTTCCAGTCATTTCATTATGCATGCCTACTCCCGGTCATATCCCAATGATGAGGCGTGATTGTGGGATTTCCATTGACATCTTGAATCGAACAATGCATTCCAAGTCATCAGGACTTTCTGCAGCATGTCAGGGAATCTGTGTATAATTTAAGACTCAAAAGAAGCTGGCTTATGCTAAGTAACTAAATACAGGCAGGGGGAAATCAACAAAAGAGTGGCTCAAAGACAACAAAATGTGGATTTTCTGACTTTTAGAAAGAGCCAAACAAGCAAAGCATCCAAAAATACACACAAACCAAATAATAACTCTATCTTTTCACAAATGTAGCAGACTTGCATGTGTACCAACTGTGTAATTTAAACAAACTAGACAAAATGCCAAGTCTAGATCCAGTATGTTATGACTTCAGATTTATTTTTACAGCATTGCCTAATGTCTCATCAGAGTAAACTAAGATTATATTTTTCTCCCTTTGCATATTAAATTATTTTATACCAGGCTACCCATCTCCACACCAGCCTCCTTATCCCATGCCCCAGCTAGGCGGACACTCCATGCCCCCCTATCCCATGGGAGGTTATGGAGAACCTGGACAGGGGACCCCACCAGCAGGGTTCCAAGCAGGATACCAGCCAGTTCCAGATCAGCCAATCATGTATCAGCCTGGTCCAGTTAGTCCAGCATCTCACCAGGGCCAACCATATGGAGGTATACATGTCTAAATTTACACTTAATTACAAAAATTGCTGGTAGGTAAATGGTAAACAATAGGTATTGAGAAAAGGTGACCACACAGGCCAAAGATGCATGACATTCATTCAAATGATTAATACAATAAAAACAATGCAACGCGTGTATTGTTAGATAATGCAGGCTAATGATGGTGTGCCTAATGGTCTTTCTCGCAACCTTCTCTAGCACCTGTACCTGCACCAGTTTCAGTTCCTGCTGGAGTACCACCTGGTCTGGAGTACCTCACTCAGGTCGGCCATGTCTTTTGGTACATTCAAATTCAGATAGTCGGAAAGCTTGTATTTACAAATTGAATGCACATGAATTCTACTGCAAAGTCGTGGTTATGATTGGGGAAACTTGGGAGTTTCAAAGTTGGGGATGAGTCTGTGAGACATGCTGGATGTAATGGTAGTTGACAGTAAATTTGTACTTTGGTTTTTTGTTTTTTTCGCAATGAGTCAAGTTGCATTTACAAAATATGATGATTGTAACTCAACTTGTAAATATGAACTTCCCAGGAAGAGTTGAACACACCAGTTCTCTCTGACATTTACTAAGTGTGTTTATGTCTTGTGACTAGTATACTCTTTTCATTTCAGATTGATCAGATCCTTATTCATCAGAAAGTGGAGTTGTTAGAGGGTGAGTCTTCTGTGTTATGTGCGTGTGGTAGGGGTTGAATGACTTCTGATTTTTTGAAGTCGACTTTTATGTGATGGAAGTCGACTAGTCGCTGATGACGTCATTAATGAACAAATAAGTCTGGAGCTGTGACAAACACGTTGTGCACAACTATGGCATATGACAGCGCTGCCCACATGGCTGTTGCTCCTATAACCGCTTTTTTTATCAGTTATTTTGTCTTTGGGTCGTTATATTTCTCACAGATTTCTGCTCATTCTAAATCAGATACAGATAAAGTAGCACAGTAAAGATTACATTAATATGAATGCATTAGTGAGAGCGACTGCATGTGTGAATTAATTCTACCTGACAGCGTCTCTCTACTATTAGTGAAGCTGTGGAATTTAGTTAAAGGGGTCCTATTATGCCTTTTCACTTTAATTTTAGTCAGTGTGTAGTGTGTATGTTTGGGCATAAAAAAGATCTAGAAAGTTACAAATCTCAAAGTCCACTCCAAAGGGAGATATTTAGTTTTTTAAAAATCCATTTTCCAAGAACTACAGCAAACGGCTCGTTTGGACTACAGCGTTTGGTTTCCGGGCTTTGTGATATCACAAAGCGGCTCATCGAATGGTTGGGGGGCGGGGAGGGGCGAGGTTGTGGTTAGAACGCTTGGTTGAGTGAGCGCATCAGATGAGACGACGAAGAAGTGCTGTTGCAGAGTTAGTGCGTCAGAGAAAACCAAGAAGAGCTGCTGTGCTGTAGCCTCAAATTTCTGGCATTTCTAGAACAGTGGTTCTCAATTCCAGTCCTCGCGTACCCCCGCTCTGCACATTTTGTGTGTTTCTCTTATTGCTTCATACATTTGTTATATTTGACTGTAAGTGCCCTGCGAAGTGGACATTACCGGATATTCCGCCATGATTCCAGTTCGAAGGGAGCGTATATGTTCCATACAAAGGGCATTAAAGTGTGCGAGACGTGAATTTAAGTTGTATTTATTTACAGAGGTATATTATGTCCAACTTCACACTTCTCTAGTAAGTTTCGTATGTCTGTGAAGACGCTGCAGGCAGTGGCGCAGCGCAAATCTAAATGAATATTCCAAAGTGAAGTAAACTTCAACGGATTTTCCCTGCTCAGGATGTAGGGAGCAATGCACACTGTGTAGGGAGCATGTCAATCAGAACACAGTTCATGCACGGAGGGAGCTCACTTCTAACGAGATGATCTGAATCAGGTGTGTTAACAAAGAGACGTGCAAAACATGCAGAGCGGGGGTGCGTGAGGACTGGAATTGAGAACCGCTGGTCTAGAACAATTCTTACAAATATAACGCGATGTAGCTCACACGAGTGAGAAGTGCCGGATTCCCAAAAGTTTTTGTTGAAAGACAGAGCAAGGGGCGGGGCAGTACTGAAACACCGTCTAAGCTGTTCGCCAATCACAACGCACTGGGACAGCTAACCAATCACAACACATTTTGTTTTTCGGAAGGCGGACCTTCATCAAAGCCGGAACTAATCGAGCCGTTTGTGCCAGCCTGGGGAGAGAGGTATTTTAATAATGTAAATTATGTGAAAAATAATGCGTTTTTCGAACCACCGAGCATGTTCTAGTACACCCCCAAAACAAAATCAAGACTTTGTAAAAGAGCATAATAGGACCCCTTTAAGAAATATATGCTTGAACTTTTCAGTTTCTAAGCTATTTTATTGAGAAATCACAGAACAGTGTTGACAATACATTTCCGCGCTTAATGATTCTGTGCGCGTCATGTACGAGCTACTGTCTGTAGCCTGTGTGTGTGCGTTACAGTGCAGCAGCGCATTAGATTAGAACGGCGATTAACTTACCTGTGCAATAAGCTGTTTAAAACGTGCATTCTCCCGTTCAATTTCGAGCATCCAGTAATATAATCACACGTCTTGTGGAGCGCTTTCAGAGTATGCATTTATTTGTCATTTGAACTGTTTGGAAACGGAGCGTAAATGTGGAAGTCCTTCAAAGATTTCTTATCCTGTTGCGCCCTCTATAGGACCCGCGACTAGTCGACGTCAAGCTTAAAGCGTCATGGCAGAGCATTGAAGTCGACTAGTCGATCAGTCGGTGCAACGCCTAGCGTGTGGTTGAAGCGGTTTACTCCGTAATTTGTGCTTGTCTGATTCGTTTTATGTGTTATATTTATTTTAACCTGAGACAATTATTCACTATTACTTTTTTGCTACTTTGTTTAAATTAGTGACTCAAAGATGGCTACAATTTTTCAACTTCGCTATATACATTTTGGTCTTCTACAGCAATCATTGGCTTTGAGACCAACAACCAGTATGAGATCAAGAACAGCCTCGGTCAAAAGATCTACTCTGCCAAAGAAAAAAATGACTGCTGCACACGCAACTGCTGTGGTGCCCTGCGCAGCTTTGACATGAAGATCAAAGACAACACCGATCGAGAGGTCATACGACTCATCCGACCTTACCGTTGTGTCTCCTGTTGGTGCCCCTGCTGCCTGCAAGAGGTAAAACAGACAAGTCATATCAAAGCTCTGCATTTAACTGTGTTAGTTTCATTAAGTCTCAAAAATCTGAAATCATGCTATGGGACCTGATGTTGTGTTGTTGAGGTTCAGCTAGTGACTTATTTGTAGGACATGCTGTGTGACCTACTACTGACATGAATGTGTGTGACTTATGAGTTATAAATGGCATGGAGTCAGTATGGACATATGACTCCATGCCACTCTGTCTTTGCAGAGCGTCTTCAATCAGCAATTGCGCAGTTTATTTAGTTTAAGATCAGTATGATTTTTGTTGCTGTTTTTGAAAAAATATTTTTTTTACAGCAAGGATTAACAGCCGTAATAAACTGATCAAAAGAACAGTAAAAACATTCATAATGTAGCGAAAGATTTCTATTTTAAATAAATGCAGTAAAACTTAACTTAAAGCCTTTGTGTAATGCATCATAAAGGGATATTAAAGGGTATAATTATTCATAATGTGCGTTGTAATACATCATATCTTGTCGTAAATAATTATAACTGAATTTAAGATGCATAGTGTAACAATGAATTAAGTTTTATAATGTATTAACTGGTTACAATTATTATTGAGATTGTACAATGCATTATAAGGTGAATTACAAGTCATAATTAATGCATTAAAACTACCTTTTTTTTTAAATGCACTCTACATAAAGGCTTTAAGTAAAGTGTTACCATAAATGCTGTTCTTTTAAACTGCATAAAAAAAACATTCAAAACATTAAGCAGCACAACTGTTTACACAACATTAATAATAAGAAGAAATGTTTCTTGAGCACCAAATCATATATTGGAATGATTTCTGAAGGATTGTGTGACATTAAAAACTGGAGTAATGGCTGCTGGAAATTCAGCTTTGCCATCATTATATTTTAATTTATTCCATTGAACAGTAATTTATTCCTCTTGAAAATTAGTGTATGTATGCACCCATAGCTGCTAGCATAGAAATCAATTTGGGCATTGCTGTACATTTTCTAATTTGTTATGACTATAAATGGCAATATTTCACCTTCAGATGGAGGTACAGGCGCCCCCAGGAACGACTGTAGGGTACGTGAAGCAGGACTGGGATCCCTGTTATCCAAAATTCTCCATCCAGGGGCCAAACAAGGAGACTGTGATGAAGCTTGAGGGGCCCTGCTTGGCATGTAACTGCTGTGGTGATGTGAACTTTGAGGTAACTTTTTAGAATTGGATTGTTGTTGGCATGTTGTTGCCTTGTTAATATACAAATTCAAAGATAAATTGGCAGGTTTGTGTTTCTAACCATAAATTTGCATTTCTCTCTTTAGCTCAAAGGCAAAGACGGTACCGGGAAGCCTATCGGTCGAATCAGTAAGCAGTGGAGTGGCCTGTTGAAGGAAGTCTTTACTGACACTGACAACTTTGGCATCCAGTTCCCTATGGACATGGATGTTAAGATGAAGGCTGTACTTATGGGCGTTTGCTTCCTTATTGTGAGTATTAAGCTAATGATCCGCAATAGTCTGAATGCTTCATAATGCCTTGGAGGGCATTGCAGTACCACAGATCTCTAACCATTATGCAACCACAATTCATAAATTCTCTCCTGGATATGAATGTGAAGCTAGCTTTCTACTACTGAGCTACTTTCTCTTTTTCCAGTATTGAGATATGTGACCCTGGACCACAAAAGCAGTCATAGGTAGCACGGCTATATTTGTAGCAATAGCCAACAATACATTGTATTGGTCAAAATGATCTATTTTTCTTTTGTGACAAAAATCTTTAGGATATTAATAAAGATCATATTCCATGAAGATACTTTGTAAATTTCCTACCGTAAATGTATCAAAACTTAATTTGATTAGTAATAATTTGCAATGCTAAGGACTTCATTTGGACAACTTTAAAGGCAATTTTCTCAATATTTAGATTTTTTTTGCACGCTCAGATTCCAGATTTTCAAATGGTTGTATCTCTGCAAAATATTGTCCTAACAAACCATAGATCAATGGAAAGCTTATTAATTCAGCTTTCAGATGATGTATAAATAAAGCAGACAGTCTGCTAATACTCTAATGACTGGTAGTTGAAATTAAGTTGCAAAGTTACTTATAGTTAGTAGAATGTCTAAAGTGGCGAAATAAAATGTTTCCAAATATTGTAATAGACCAAAAATCAGAGCATATTCTTCCCTACTAGATTCTGTTCGGACTCTTTGATCTTTTGTTCTCTTTTTCTTTTCATAGGATTTCGTGTTCTTTGAAAAAGTGGGAGAGACAAACCAGCGCAATACTGTATTCTCTTAGAGCTCTTGGTAAGTTACTTTTTAAGTAACATTTTTAACTAACTCATTATCTTTCAAGTCTTTTTTTTTTTTTTTTTTTTTAACTGATGAAATTCTCACATTTTTGTGGACGACGTCTGAGTCTGTACTACTATTATTTCCTGCATTTTCTTAGGTAACCAAAGCTATAGACAGCTGGCACTGCAGTGAAACCAAGGGACACGTTCAAGGTCATTTTGTAGGGTTCAGGTGGCCAGCAATATTGACAATGACAGGCGAGGTATCATGAGTAACTGTTCACTGGTGCCTTTTAAACAATCAGAGCCTATAATTATAAATTACTGTTACAATAGTATATCAACTAACATATATCTTTTTGTTACTTTAAATTTTTCTTTTTTATTTGAAATAAAATGTAACATGCATCCCTACGCATGTATTTCCAGACTTATTTCATGCATAAATATATTTTCAGTCTTTCTGAAGAAAATTCAGTTTTATTGTGCTAAATGCAAAGCCTTTTCGTTAAAACATACGGATGTTCCTACAGCCAAGTAATGCATGATGATGGGGGTTACATGCAAGTTAATGACTCTGGCAACAGCTGAAAAAAGGAAAAAACAAACAAGTAGTTGCATGGTTTTCTGTGTATAGACCAGTGACTTACTGTGGGTAGAATGTCAGTTGTTACTAATAGCTTTTTTTGGTGTGTGTCTGAAGAATGAGTGCACTACAGGGGTGCGCTTGTCAGTTTATAAAAGCCAGCCTCTCAATGAGTCCATCTTAATTCTTAGGGTGGTGTTAAATATGAATTATTTGCCAATTAAACCCGTGAGTAGCATGAAACACACACATGGAATTTCAGGAAACATAGTCCTGTGAATAGACTTTAATATTAATATTCCTGTCCTCATAAAAAAAATGTCATTATTTACAACATGAAAACATTTTATTTGGTTAGTTATATAGAGACTGGCCTTGTATCAATAAGAACGTATACTGAATGTATAACATTATTAAAATATACAGACCGAGGGGTGTTGAAACTTTTTTTGTTACATGTCTGTGTTTTGGTCACTATGTATTTCAAACGTTGATATAAATTTCCTGCATTTATACACTGGAAAAGATATAGTTATCAAGTTAAAATAAATATATAGATAGGGAACAACTTTATATCACTAACAGGGTGAATTGTAACAATAATAGAACACATGGACATCAATTAAAATTTTGTACACATTCATTTTGTTAATCAAATTTAACATCCCAGTAGCTAATTACTCATTTTTTTTCAACTTGTAATGTTACAGTGCTCTCTGGATCACCATGTAATCAATAAAAATGTGTCGTCTTGTGTATGTGTTTGTATTTATTTCTATAATGTACAATATTCTAACATTATACATAATAAACGTATAATATTATGTTGGTGGTTTGTGTGATTGTTACTGCATCTAGGAAAAGATTTAAAAACATACTGTACACATATTGTTGCAAAACCCCTAACATGTAACCAAATAAAAGACTTCAGATGTAGGCTTACGCTAAAATAACCGTCATTTGTAATTTTACAACGGCTAACCTAAGGAACAATAGTCTCGGTCACGCTTTTTATGCAAAATCACTCCTTACGACTTGCTTTAACACGTTCACGACGATTAGTGTTCACACAGTTCAACAACCCCTTTTTATAGCTATGTTTCATGTTTGTTTTAACATGATTCACATTAACTTATGCTTGGAAATTCAACAATAGCCAGAGGCGGACGGTAACTAAGTACATTTACTTGAGTATTGTACTTAAGTACACTTTTTGAGTATCTGTACTTTACTTGAGTATTATTTTTTCTGGGAACTTATGACTTTAACTTCACTACATTTGAAAGACAAATATTGTACTTTTCACTCCACTACATTTCTATCAAGGTCCTCGAAGTAGAAAGTCGTTACTCTGTAGCAGCTTTGAAAATCAGTGGGTGATTTTTTTCTTCTCTAAAATGTGACTCTCTCTTTTTTTCAGACAGTTTATCAGTAATCACTCTTGGGGCTACATGAAGTGATTTCCCAGCATTTTTTGAACACTGCACAGTTGCAAACGTGATATTTATTTACAACAATTCAATAATAAGTTAATATTGTGGTATATATTAGAAACAATATTGTCTGATTTTGCTAAATTGTGTACATGAAATATTACCTATAAAGCCACAGAAGAACTGTTGTGCATCTCCTAATAAAACACAATAGGTGATGGACTTGAAGCAGCACTGCATAGACTGTTCTGTGTGTGACATCAAAGTGCCACGAGAGCGATTAGACAGCTTTTTTTTTATTATTGTTTTGATGTCAAATAAGCCTTGCTGTTGTAAAGTTACACAGCTACAGTTGTGTTGCTGGGTTTTAAAGCAGGTTTGAT